GCCCGACTACTCAACAAAGGGCACCTTCGGTAATTCCTTAGCGATCGGGCCAAAAATCAATTCTGAGACAGGGAGGCAACCAAGAATAACGAGGCAAACGAACCGCAACACGTCATCCACATGATCATGGGGCGCGCCGATGCCCCGCAGGAACACGTGATGAGGAGAACAAAAATATCCATCACCAGGGAAAAATGGACTCGGGGATATATCCCCGAAGACGCCCTCTCGTTCAGCGAAGAAGATACCAAGGCCCTATCTCAACCCCACAATGATGCCCTGGTAATCTCCTTTCTTGTAAATTATTTTTAGATAAAACGTGTACTCGTGGATCCAAGTAGCTCGACCAATATTATCAGGTCGAGGGTGATAGAACAACTCAGACTTTTTGAACGAATCGTGCCCGCCACTCGGGTCCTCAATGGGTTCAACATGGCGAGCGAAACAACGAAAGGAGAAATAGTCCTTCCGATTACCGTGGCCGGCACAACCCAAGACACCAAATTCCATGTCATCGGGGGAGATATGAGGTATAACGCCTTGTTTGGGAGATCGTGGATACACTACATGAGAGCAGTACCATCTACCCTCCACCAGATGATAAAGTTCCCGACAAAGGACGGGATCAAAACTGTCTATGGGGAGCAACACGCGGCAAGGGAAATGTTTTCAATACACAATGTGTTACCGGCGACCATACCTCTGCTCCCGAATAAGCCAACGGGCGAATCAGGCAGAAATCTGCATCGCGTGTCCGCTCTCGGGCAGTCATAGTAAGCCAACCTCAAGGCACCACCAGCATATCTCGTTTCAAGGTACATCCATTCCTTTTGTTTCATTTCGGATTGAGTACTAACCCTCATGTAGGAACTTGACCGGAGATGCCAGAACGCTAACACTATTAGGAGACCTCGAGACCCCCAAAAGCGCACCCGTTGCACTCTTTTCTTTTGACCGAGTTTTTATCCCAAAAAGAAGGGTTTTTACTGGCAAAGTTTTTAATGAGGCAACATCTGCGAAGCTGCTTAACAGGAAAACTCCACAAATTGATCGAAGCCGCCCTTACGGCCAACTTTCAAGCGGTGAGGGGCATTCCCTCTGGAATCCACCCGATTCGAAGGAGTCGGGGAAACACCAAGCAAAGGTTCTTGCAGGGAGACGATGTATCGGGCCAAACAACCAATGTAATCACACCCCGCCAAAGCAGAAGCATGTACTATTATATCGGGCAATCAAAGAATACCCTTTTCTATGAAAAAAGAGAAAGGCTCCTTCTCAAAGTACGACAATGTGAAAATCATCGGAGCAACCAAAATCAACCTAAAATAGATCGACTCAACTCAACAACATATGTATTGCACCAATGGATCAGAGAATATCTTCCAACATCTCATTCTCCAAAAGGGAAAATCATAGTATACTCTCGACAAAAGCTTCTCCGCCGAATACGCCTCGAGATTACAAATTACAAAAGATACCCTAAAAATATGAAAAGAATGTATTTATACTAGGCCGAATTTTCTGGACAAAAATACCCCTGACGAGGTGCTGCGGTCCGCATAAAATGCGTCGTGGACCGCAATGAGGCTTCTTGGTTTGATTAATCATTATCTGAATCTGGCCACCACGGGCCGTATAAAATGCACCACTGCCGCGGTGGCTTCAACTACGGTCCGCACAAAAAGGACTACAGACCGTATTGGCTTCCAACAGTTGAAATCCTAGCTCTCTGAATCTCTGCTCCGCGGACCACATAAACTCGATTGCGGCCGCAGTGAGACTACTGCGGTTAGCACAACATGGTTTGCGGTCGCAGTGCTTGAGCTTCCAAAATTGCACTTCTCTAAAATCTCCTCACCGCGGACCGCACTAAATGGATTGCGGTCGTAGTGAGTCTATTGAAAATGTGCTTTGACTTGTTCTTGGTACTTGTTTATGTTTCACTCCTTTTTGAGCTAGGTTTGACTTATTGTCATCTTTCTTTTTACCAAACCCTACAAACAAGTATAACATGTAAGCCTTTGAGATTATTTTGTATACATTTTTAATCAAAACTCAAGTAAAAAGGAGTATAAAATGAACTGAAATCCCTAGTTATCAGTGATCACTGTCATGCCCCCTTCTTTGGGACACAATGAACCGGAGAAGTCCACAAACTATCGAAAATGGGTTAGACAACCACGACATCCAACCACGTGATAATCTCCTTTTTGACAACCTCTTGCATAGCCTCATTGAGTCTTCTTTGATGTTCAATAGATGTTTTGGCACCTTCCTCCAAGTTGATCTTATGCATGCATAATGCGAGGCTTATCCCCCGAATATCTGCCAATGTCCACCCAATAGCCTTCTTCCTCTTTTGTAGCACCGCCAATGTAGAATCTACCTGCACGTTAGTCAAACAAGAGGAAAGAATAACTGCTAAAGTAGAGCAAGGACTAAGAAATTTATACCAAAGATGTGGAGGCAATGGCTTCAACTCCAAAGTAGGAGGCTCTTCAATAGAAGGCTCTGTAGGAAGAGTTGTCCTATTTTCAAGATCCAAGGACAATTTTTGGGGTGCATAGTTGTAAAATCCCATTCCTTGCAAAGAGTTCACACATTCCATTAAGCCATCCATCTCGTCATCATCAAAGTTGAGCAAGACGGCCTCCAACATATCACCAACATTGATCATAGTACTTATTTCATCAACAATAACATCGGTCACCAAGTCTACAAAAGAGCAAACCTCATTGCTATTTGGTTGCTTCATGGACTTACACACATGGAAAACCATTTTTTCATTACCAACTCAGAAGGTGTGTTCTCCAGCTTCAACATCAAAAAGAGTCTTCCCCGTAGCAAGGAAAAGTCTTCCAAGAATAATCGACACCTCATAATCAACTTCATAATCGAGAATGATAAAATCTGCCGGAAGAATAAATTTATTAACACAAACCAATACATCTTCAATCACTCCCAAAGGTCTCTTCATAGTACGATCAACCATTTGAATCTCATAGAGGTGGGCCTTGGATGCCCAATTCCCAACATCTTGGAAACCGAATAGGGCCTCAAATTGATACTCGCCCCAAGATCACAAAGTTCTTTAGCAAACTTGGCACTTCCAATTATACAAGGAATTATGAAAGCACCGGGATCCTCCAACTTAGGAGCCATTGAATGCACAATTTCACTCACTTGATGAGTGACTTTGATAGTTTCAAAATTCATTGACGTTCTTTGTCACAAGATCCTAAAGTAGAAAATAAAAACAGCTACAACAACTTCAGAGGTTCAAAACTTGACATAATTTTGTGAAACTCGTCTATTTATACAAGGCTGAAAATCTCGGACAGAATTGCTCTTTGGGAGATCTGTGACCGCACAATTCCATGTGCAGTTCGCAGATTTCTTCGTTTGGAAGGAACTATAGTTTTGCAGCTGCACATTTCTTAACTATGGTCGCGAGGCATTCTTCTGCGACCGAACATTTCTGGACTACGGCCGTACAATAACTCTTATGCGGTCCGCACAATTAGGACTGTGGCCGTAAGACAGGCTCCTAGAATTGGTCTTCCTGCATACTCTCTGATCTTCGACTCGTAGCCCAATTTTGTGGCCGCACAATTCATGTGTGGTTCGTAATTTGTGCAAATGTCAGCTAAATTCTTCCTCTTGGTTTGTGGCCGTATATGGAATTATTCAGTCTGCAATTTCTTCTGCGGTCACAGCATTCCTTCTGTAGACCGTACATTTATGCTTCTACGCCTTTTATTGCCTTGTGCTTCCGGCTACTCCTTTTTAAGTCGGATTTCATTGCGGGAGACCAACTTCCAGCATTCCTATAATTTTGCACAATTTTATTAGTTTCGGGAACGTAATTCAATGCTTTTAGACTAAAATAAAAGCTAAAAGGCACTAATAAGCAGTCAAAATCCCCACTTATTAACCTTCAACATCTTCACCTTTCGGTTCTTCTTTAGTTCTCGAGAACTCAGAACAGGAACAAGAAGAGTCAGTAGCATCAGGCTTGACTGGAAGACCCCTTCGGCATCAAAGTCAATAATGTCCGCTTTGCCTTCTTCCAAGGTTTTTCTTCTTATTCTATACATAGAATATGTTTTTTCAATAATGAGGGAAGTTGCTCTGCGCTGGAGTTCTTCTTTAAGATGGTCAACCTCAGTTGAAAGGTTATCCCACTCGAATCTAGCGGTATGGAGGCTGACATTGAGGTCGCGGACAGTTAAGTTGTAGACTCTTTTGTTCACTATGACTCTCTTCCAAACGGTCATACTTCTCCTCCGCATTAGTGACTTCTTCAGCTTTGGAGTTTAGGGTTACCTCTGAATTATTCAATCTTTCAGTACAGGCATGCTACACCCCGTAAGTTTAACAACCTTGACACTATTATATATATNCAAAGGCTTGAAAAATATGATTTTATATAGTTATTAATATTATTACTTTCGAATATGCTTTAAAATATACACATAATATGAGAAAGCTTATGAAATTTTCTTTATTGTAAAGATAGAAATTATTTTCTCACATAAAAAATAGGTTATCTTTTTACCATTTTAAAAATTAAGCGTATGAAAAATTTGTACTCTTTATATGAGATTAGAAAAATTATAAGTTGAGAAAATATATGTATTTTTACATAGATGTTTTAATGAAATAATAGTGTATGAATTTATTTTACATGGTACCACATGACCATAATAGAACGGTGTATAAAGGTATTAAATTTAAGTAGAATTTTGAGTAATTTGAAATATTTCTTAATTATGCGAGTATTTTGTTAATTATCGGGTAATGGGACATTACCTAATTTTCTAATAACTGGATAAAGATTAAACTTTCCACCCATCCCCACGTGGCAGCCCCTTCACCTTTTAATAATGACTCATTAGTCATTTAAAAAGGTATCACATGTTAGACAACAACAAAATATGAAGTCAATCTTTTCGTTTGGATGGTGACCTAGAGTACTATATATAACGGGCTGAGAATTTCATGAGGCATCACTTATCAGTTGGGGCTTCATGAGCAAAGAAATGAGGGAGGGAGTATTAATTTAAAGTTTCATGTAAAGTAATGGTTCGTGCTTTGGGTATCATTGTCAAGTACATAACCAAGTGTTAATGAGTTAGGGGTCCCTTTTCTGCTATTGCTCCTTTCATATTCTTTTTAGAGAAACAATTTCATAATTCAACTAGTCACTGTTTGAAGTAGATATGGAACCTAAATGATTGTCTTTAAGTTGGCTAATGACAACACTATTTGGTGCATGGGCAATTCAATGCCATGTTTCTACACTTGTTAGACAGTGAAACCAGCAGCCTGGATGAGTTGTTGTCGGACCTATTAGTGTAACTTATGCATTATATTTGGGTAAAGCTTAATAGCTCTTCTCCCCCCCTCCATCTTAAACTTATAAACATCAATACTACGTTTGATTGGGGAGAGAAGAGGAGGAATCCGGTATTTGGTGGAGTAGAAACTGTAAATGAAGGCTAGAATTTTTCAGAGCCTTCAATTGTCGTCATGGATTAATTCGGATAAGGTAGTAAGGAAACCCGGTGGTTTCTTGCGTTTCTTTGTGAAATGGAATGAAAAACTGAGGCATCGTACAGTCATATCCTACCATTTACAGCCTAGAAAAGCTAATAGACAAGTAGCATTGAAGGTTTCATGTTCTTCTCATAATGTTCAAGGACTTGATGTAATCTTTCTCAAGAGAATCGGCCCAGGTATGTTAAAGCCAATCCTTCCATTTATTGCTATCTATCTCATGATCCAAGTAACGATACGTAAATATAATGATGTTCCATAGGGGGGTCAATTCTTAGCAGTTAAGGATGTTTATGTTATTCATTTCTAATTTCATAGTACGTCCTCACTACTTTGACGAATCTGTAATAGTATGGTTAATTTATTGTTTGATACACTACAAATTATAAAAGATTATATTAAATCATTTTCTTCAAAGATAATAAACACCAAGTTGTAATTCAACCAGGTACCATAGTAATTGATTTTGCGTCTAAAATAAACACTTGAAATGTTTAAGGAGAAAAAAGGGTTTTGCAAATTTTAAAAAAATAGAAATTGAGGGGTTTGTTATTACATAGAACAGATTACTACTGGATTTATACAATATGCACTAAGAATTCAAGGTCAAATTATTGCTATCTATTGGGAATGAACATATTGAACTTTTGTTGGTGTAGGGTAGTTATCGTTATGCTTAGCAGTTTTATTCCCTTTTCATATTTAATTTAACATTATAAAAATAGATTTTTTATCAGTATATTGGAATTCCCATATGTCTTATTACTCTATCGTCTGTTCATGAGTCTTAAAAATATGTAAGTTGGTAAAGTTTATTTCATGATATTAATCAGAGTCATAATGGTCTTATGACGTACCGAAAGATTTTATAAACGTATTTCATATGCATGCATTTATACATGCACATTTACACATAAGAAGACGACGTTATATATGCACCACCACCTGATTAGCTGATATACATTGATGATTTTGCCCACAGTGGCACCAGATGATGTTATATACGCGTATATATGTAAATATATATATGGGATATGACAAAAAGGTTACGGCGTTATATACACACCACCATCTGATCAGCTAGTATACGATGATGTTTCCCATAATGGCTGAAATATGACTCAGACGGCGTTATATATGCATATATATGTATATACATGTATATGGTATATGGGAAAAGGTTACGGCGTTATATACGCACCACCACCTGATCAGTTGGTATACGATGATGATGTGTCCCAAAATGGCTTAAATAATATGATGGAATGCCCTCAGAAGCTTGATGATGATATGTACGTACAGACCTATACATTACATGACATTCACACGCATATGCATGAAGTTATAAATATTTCATAATTTACAGATCTATCTAGATATACAGGTTGAGTCCTTTACTCTATGTTTCTTCCATGTCCTTTATATACTTATTTACATGCCTTACATACTCAGTATATTATTTATACTGATGTCCTTTTCTTAGGGACGCTACATTAATGCCTGCAGGTATAGATAATCAGTTGACGAGCCCTTATAGTAGACGAGATTGACATTCAGCGAAGGATCGGTAAGACTCTACCTCATTCAGAGTGCAACCGAGTGTGCAAGTCATCGTGTCAGAGTTTTCAGACTTATGGGTAGGCCGGTACCCTGTCGTATTTTATGTCAAATAATCTTAGAGGCTTTATAGACACTGGTTAGTATGTACGGTATGTTAAAGGCCTTGACAACCCATATGTATTCATGTTTTATGAACGATGATTCGTTGATATAACATTTGCCCACTTATAGTTATATACTACGAGTTGTGGCAATGTTGGCCCATGATAGTTATAAGAAAAAAAAAAGAAAGAGCTGCAGAGTGGTTCACTCGGGCCAGTGTGGCACCGAGTGCCAACCATGCCTCCCAGGTTTGGGGCGTGACAAAGTGGTATCAGAGCAATTCGTGTCCTAGGGAGTCTACAAAATCGTGCCTAGTAGAGTCTCACTTATGGGTATGTTGCACGCCACATTTATAATTGAGAGGCTATAGGACATTTAGGAAATGTTACCCTTTTTTGTTTCCAGATCGTGCCATAGAGCTGAGTCGTAAGAAATCAGTATGAAGTTGTCGCGAGATTTTGTATGCACCAGAGGTACAGGTATTATAGTAGAGATTTAATGCGTAATGTGGAAGGAAGATTATGAAAGAAACAGAAGATATGATGCAAGATTGAAAGGTAAGTAAGATAAAGTTGAAGACAATGTGAGATACTCAAGTAGAAAATGTTGTGAATAGTCGAGACTTCAGATAGAGGTTGGGTTTTAGTTTGGTATACAAAGGAGACCCTAGTGAAAATTTTGTAACTCTCCGAGAGTTAACATTCAAGCGAATGTTCTAAACGGGGGGAGGATGTTACACCCTGTATGTTTAACAACCTTGACATCGTTATATATATATATTTGATATGGTATATTGAGTGGATCATTTTTTGAAAAACAAAAAAAAATCGCTTGGAAAATATGATTTTATATAGCTATTAATATTACTACTTTCGAATATGCTTTAAAATATACACATAATATGAGAAAGTTTATGAGATTTTGCTTTATTGTAAATATAGAAATTATTTTCTCACATAAAAAAGGTTATCTTTTTACCATTTTAAAACTTAAGCATACGAAAAATTTGTACTGTTTATATGAGATTAGGAAAATTATAAGTTGAGAAAATATATGCATTTTTACATAGATGTTTTAATGAAATAATAGTGTATGAATTTATTTTACATGGTACCACATGACCGTATTAGTACGGTGTATAAAGTGTATTAAAAATAAGTAAAATTTTAAGTAATTTGAAACATTTCTTAATTATGCAGGTAATTTATTAATTACCGGGTAACGGGACATTACCTAATTGCCTAATAACTGGATAAAGATTAAACTTTCCACCCCATCCCCATGTGGCAGCCCCCTCACCTTCTAATAATGACTCATTAGTCATTTAAAAAGATGTCACATGTTAGAGAACACAACAAAATATGAAGTCAATCTTTTCGTTTGGATGGTGACCTAGAATGCTATATATAACGGGCTGAGAAATTAATGAGGCATCACATATCAGTTGGGACTTCATGAGCAAAGAAATGAGGGAGGGAGTATTATTTTAAAGTTCCATGTAAAGTGATGGTCCATGCTTTGGGTATCATTGTCAAGTACATAACCAAGTGTTAATAAGTTAGGGGTCCCCTTTCTGCTGTTGCTCCTTTCATATTATTTTTAGAGAAATTTTTTTCTAATTCAACTAGTCACTATTTGAAGTAGCTATGGAACCTAAATGATTGTCTTTAAGTTGGCTAATGACAACACTATTAGGTACATGGGCAACTCAGTGCCATGTTTCTGCACCTGTAGATAGTGAAACCAACAGCTTGGATGAGCTGTTGTAGGACCTATTAGTGTAACTTATGCATTATATTTGGGTAAAGCTTAATAGCTCTTCTCCCCCCCACCCCCTCCATCTTAAACTTATAAAAGTCAATACTACGTTTGATTGGGGAGAGAAGAGGAGGAATCAGGTATTTGGTGGAGTAGAAACTGTAAATGAAGGCTAGAATTTTGCAGAGCCTTCAATTGTCGTCATGGATTAATTCGGATAAGGTAGTAAGGAAACCCGGTGGTTTCTTGCGTTTCTTTGTGAAATGGAATGAAAAACTGAGGCATCGTACAATCATATCCTACCATTTACAGCCTAGAAAAGCTAATAGACGAGTAGCATTGAAGGTTTCATGTTCTTCTCATAATGTTCAAGGACTTGATGTAATCTTTCTCAAGAGAATCGGCCTAGGTATGTTAAGGAAAATCCTTCTTTCTTTTGGCATGATCCAAGTAACGATACGAAAACGTAATGATGTTCCATAAGGGGTTCTATTCTTAGCAGTTAAGGATGTTTATGTTATTCATTTCTAGTTTTTCATAGTACGTCCTCACTACTTTGACGAATCTGTAATAGTATGGTTAATTTATTGGTAGATACACTACAAATTATAATAGATTATATTAAATCATTTTCTTCAAAGATAATAAACACCAAGTTGTAATTCAACCAGGTACCATAGTAATTGATTTTGTGTCTAAAATAATCACTTGAAATTAAGGAGAAAGGAGGGGTTTGTAAAATATTTTTTAAAAATATAAATTAAGGGGTTTGCTATTACATAGAACAGATTACTACTGGATTTATGCAATATGCACTAAGCATTCAAGGTCAAATTTATTGCTATCTATTGGGAAGAAACATATTGAACTTTTGTTGGTGTAGGGTGGTTATCGTTATGCTTAGCATTTTTTTTCCCTTTTCATATTTAATGCAACATTATAAAAATAGACTTTTTATCAGTATATTGGAATTTCCATATGTCTCATTATTCTATCGTCTGTTCATGAGTCTCAAAAATATGTAAGTTGGTAAAGTTCATTTCATGATACTAATCAGAGGCATAATGGTCTTATGACGTACCAAGAGATTTTATTAACATATTTTATATGCATTTCATGCATTTATACATGCACATTTACCCATGAGCAGACAACATTATATGCGCACCACCACTTGATCAGCTCGTATACATTAATGATTTTGCCCAAAGTGGCACCAGATGACGTTATATATGCGTATATGTGTAAATATATGTATATGTGATATGGGAAAAGGGTTACGGCGTTATATACACACTACCACCTGATCAGCTGGTATACGGTGATGAATATATATATATATATATNTGATGATGTTGCCCACAATGGCTGAAATAATATGATGGGATTCCCTCAGAGACTTGATGATGATATGTACGTACAGACCTATACATTACATGATATTCACACGCATATGCATGATGTTATAAATAATTCTTAATTTATAGATCTATCCAGATATACAGGTTAAGTCCTTTACTCCATGTTTCTTCTATGTCCTTTATATACTAATTTACATGCCTTACATACTTAGTATATTATTCGTACTAATGTCCTTTTGTTGGGGACGCTGCATTTATGCCTGCAGGTATAGATAATTAGTTGACGAGCCCTTATAGTAGACGAGATTGGCATTCAGCAAAGGATCGGTAAGACTCTACCTCATTCGGAGTACAACCGAGTGTGCAAGTCATCGTGTCTGACTTTTCAGACTTATGGGTAGGCCGGTACCCTATCCTATTTTATGTCAAATAATATTAGAGACTTTGTAGACACTGGTTTAATATGCACGGTATGTTAAAGCCTTGACAGCCCATATGTATTCATGTTTTATGAACGATGGTTCATTGATATAACATTAGCCCACTTATAGTTATACACTACGAGTTGTGTCCATGTTGGCCCATGATAGTTACAAAGAAAAAAAAGAAAAAGCTGCAGAGTGGTTCACTCGGGCTAGTCCGGCACCGAGTGCCAGCCACACCTCCCAGGTTTGGGGCGTGACAAGGCAGTCTCGCAATCGGATGCAGCAAGAACGACATTATGGACCTCGACCAACTTTGACTAAGCTTCTTCAAATTGTACCCTTAACTAGGCAGTCTCTTGGCTAAGGGTCACTACCTCTTTCTTGTTTTGCTTCAACCAAGCCTCCAATTCAATGGCCTCGGCAGCTCATGCTTCTAGTTCCAGGAGAGGAGCAGTAAGTTGATCTCGCTCGGCCAACAATTGATCTCATTCGAAAGTAAGTTCCTCTTTATCAAGAATCAACCTCTGAAGGCCCTCGGAGGCAAGGAAGACTGCAAAACAAAAATGTAAACTCAAAGCCCTACCATAACAAAGATGGAAGAAATAGTAGAAGAAATAAAGATTATACCGCCGCTGCGTTGTGCATGGGATTGTTCAACAAATACTATCCCGAGAGAGTTTGTATTTTATTCCTGCCTTTTTCTTAAGCCAGAGGCTTCCGATAATTAGAAAGTTCCACTGGCCGGGATAGCAAATGGCATCCGGTAGAAACTGAGAGGGTGACACTCCTCCTCCTTTGGTGATCTTCGGAGGGGCTAAAAAATTATGCCCCAAATTCCCATGAACTGGGGATTGGTAAAGAGGGAAATCTTTCTCCTGGGCAACTACAGTTAGTGGAAATGATATAGCAGTTGCTGGTGGCGAAGGCAGAGTTGGTAAAGAAGGAGATAAGGCTGATGGCGTTATAGGGTACGAAGTAGCTGTGGCAACAACAGTGCTAGCTATTGGTTGCTTATCAACCAAGGACAAGAGAAACCCGGTACCTAGCCTCATGGTACCGGGAATAGCGACTGGGGCTCGAAAGCGAGAGTTATCATCTTCCACTCTAGCAAATTCCCTTAGAGCGCCGGGACATCGTCCTCAGTTGGCGTAACTAGCTCAACAAATTGAGCATTCTGTGAGCTGATGAAGGTCGTCGTCTTCTATGTAGAGAAGCCCTTTCATCATTGGCTTCTCTATCATCATCGATCACCAAAGTATCTATGGTCGGCTCGGTCGCAACGCTCGTCACCACAGCATCCATGGATGGCTCGAGCATGACACCCTTCACTTTTTATTTTCCCCCTGTTCACGGAGGAACGTCACCATTATGGTTGCTTGTTCTCCGGCCGGGGACTCCGAGAAGAAGAACTTGTACCAGAAGCGGGCCCAGAGATACCTGTTCGGGTGAAAGCCTCCTGCAGCAGCCTCGCCGTATCAGCCAGATCAACCAACACATCCTTTGTGGGGAGGACAACTTAGCCCTGGGGTAGATCTGAATTCAACAGGAGAAAAAGGTTAATCAATTTCCTATACGAAAGATAAAAACAAGATGAGTGTGACCTACCAGGATTTTTGGCCATCCACCCATATTTAAGAGCTAGTTCTTTCCACGTGCAGGTCTAGAGCGTAGTGACATCCAAAATCTTCTAGATCCACTGGTCCAAGCCTTCAACCCTAGATGGTGTCCACCGAGTTGCTGAAATAAGTGAAAGAAGAAAGATCAGTAGCAGCTTGGGGTGATCTTTATTTAGAAGAAAAGATAAACGGTGAACTTACGAGTACGGTTCCATAATTCCGGAAAGGATGGAGTCGTAGCCGGGATGATGTCCCTGGTGGAAACCGCAACGAATCATTCCATCCACCCACAGTCATTTTCATTATCCATTCTGGTTAGCAAAGCATGGTGCTCACATTTGCTGAAATTTATCATTCCCCCGCGATAAATCTTGGGGGTATAACGGTTCATTAATCGAGCAAGGGATAGCTCTTCTCCCGTTTCCTGGCATAGATGCTAAAGGCAAGAAACTTTCCTCTACACAGAAGTACTTACCTGTGCCAGACATACATGGTAATGGATGAAGAACTCCATGATAACGGAGTCAAGCTCCCCGCTCAAGGAGAATGGTCCCAAAGTGAAGGTATACGTGAAGAAATATGTGAAACCCTTCTTGGCTAAGGTTATCTGCACCGCCAGATCAGGAGAGATGATGTTTAAATCATGAAAATGGCAGTCTTCTTTCACACCAGGAATGCTGGAAGGATGGATGGAAGAAGGATACACGCTAACAGCCTATGTGCGAGGGTTAGCAGAAGGATACTTCTCTTTTAAGTCCTTAGTTGTGGTGAGTTTTTTTGGAATGATGGTGCTCATCGTGGGAGGAGCAGCATCATCAGCATTACCTTTGTTCTTTGAGGAACTGAGATTTCTAGAAAAAGAGGCCATTGTTATCAGAAGGGAGAAAAAGTATTTTTTTTAAGAAGAAGATTAGAGAAAGTTGAAGACAAGTATGAGTTGAGCAAAGAGAGTTCTAGAGAATTCGGAAAGTTATGAAGTGTAAATGGAGAAGTTTTATGCGTTTAAGTAAGGAAATAGGTGGCAAAAATCATAGTAATAATGTCACGACCCGGATTTCTCACCCTCGGGAGTCATGATGGTGCCTATTAATGAGAGCTAGGCAAGCCAACCCTTAACTATCTAATTCCTTACCAAATTACTTCCTTTTAACAATTACGAGCAATAACATAATTATAGCAGAACTTTAAATAATTAAGCGGAAGATAACCATGAAATATCTGAAGGCTATGTCTATTACAACTTTTAAAACCTCAAATACCCCAAAACCTGGTGTCACAGTATCACAGACTGTCTAAGAGTTTCTACATACAAGGTCTGAAGAAATGCAACACACTGTTTCTGAACAAAGGAAATGAAACACGAAATAGAGATAGAGGGAGACGCCAGGGCCTGCGGACGCCTACAGGTCTACCTTGGTTCTCCGAGTGGACTGAAGGAAGCCCTCCAACTACTGTCCAAAAGCTGCTTCGGGATTTGCACATAATGCAGAGTGTAGTATCAGCACAACCGACCCCATGTGCTGGTAAGTGCCTGGCCTAACCCCGGCGAGGTAGTGACGAAGCTAGAATCAGACTCCAGATAAACCTGTGCGGTTATATCACATATGGCGAAAAAGTAACAAGTAATAAACAATTAAAGTCGGGGAAGGGGAACATGCTTCGAGGGTAGCTGACAAAAAAAATAACAAGAAATAACAAGGAAGCTAACAATATAACTTCTAACACATATAAAAGAGAAGTAAAGACAGCTTTCACTTCCGGTTTTCATCTTGTTGCATGCGTGCAACCCGATCCCATTTCTCATATCTTGTGGTTGGCGTACCACCCGCTCCCATTTCATCAAATCTTGTGGTAGGCATACCACCCGCTCCCATTTCATAATATCTTGTGGTTTATCACCCGCTGCCATTTCATAATATCTTGTGGTAGGCGTACCACCCGCTCCCATTTCATTATCTTGTGGTAGTCACACCACCCGCTCCCATTTCATAATATCTTGTGGTAGGCATACCACCCGCTCCCGTTTCATAATATCTTGTGGTAGGCATACCACCCGCTCCCGTTTACAGTTCATCACACAATCACAAGAAATCCCGGCAAGGGAACATAAGTGATATAATAACTTCCCGACAAGGGAACAAAAGCAATATAAAAATTTACCGACAAGGGAACAACAATATCGAAATAGTCATCCAGGCAAGGAAGAATCATTTGTAACCAATCTCACTTAGCTGGTACTCAGTTCAATTAATGGAAATGCTCAATCATAGAAGATCATTAATTAAAGCACACAAAGTGTCATTCAAGAACACAACAACTTTCAATTTAAGACCCATGGTCATGCTTGACACCAACGTATAGATACTCATCACCATGCCTATACGTCGTATTCAACAAGAAGCAAGTAACAAGTATGACTCAACTCCTAATCCCTCAAGCTAGGGTTAGATCAAACACTTACCTCGAAGCTTTGAACATCACTCAAGCCTCAATTATAGCTTTACCCCTTGATTCCACCACCAATCCGCTCGAATCTAGTTACAAGTTATTTAATTACATCAATAAGTGCTAAATGAATCAACCCCAATGCATGAAAATGAGTTTTTCCAAAGTTTTACCCAAAAGGTCAAAATCACCCCCGGGCCCACGTGGTCGAAACCCGAGGTTCGGACAAAAACCCGATTACCCATTCCCCTACAAATCCAAATATATAATTTGTTTTGAAATGGGACCTTAAATTGAGGTCAAAATCCCCAATTTTAGAAAAAACCTAGGTTTTACCCAAAACACCCAATTTCGCCCATGAAAATCTTTGATTTGAAGTTGAAATAATGTTAAAAGATGTTAAGGAGTGAAGAAAATGAGTTAGAAATCACTGACCAATGTTTTGGAGAAGAAAGGTTGTTTGAAAAATCGCCTCTTATGTTCTTGGGGTTTTGAAAAGTGAAAAATAACTGAAATTCCCGTTTATTTATACCCCTCTCAGACCCTTTGTGCAGACCGCATCAAATGGACCGCGGCCGCATAGGTCTCTCTTAAGACCTGCAGTTCAGCACCCTGTGCGGACTGCACAAAGGCGACTACGGCCGCACAACCTCTATCGCGCTCCACACAAAGGCAACCGCGGCCGCGCTGGCCCCTCCGCGGTCGCACGCAATTTCTCGTGGACCGCACTAAAGGGTTCAGAGACCTACAACTTCCTGAACCTGCAACATCTGACTTTCTAAGCCTAAGGCATCCCGGAACCTACTCGAAACTCACTCGATCCCCCGAAACTCCAACCTAAGTATACACACAACCTCAAAAATATCCTACGGACATATTTGTGTAATCAAATTACCAAAATAAAATCACGAGCATCGAATTAAACCTCGAGATCAATGAAATTTCTCAAAACTCATTTAACATCAAACTTCTCAATTAAGGTCCGGATCGCGTCAAACGACGTCCGTTTTAATCAAATTTCACAGGAATGACTCAAGTCATATATAAGACCTCTACCGTGCGCCATAA